ATCAGGACCAGAACCAGGAGTAGTCCTCCATCAGGACCAGAACCAGGAGTAGTTCTTCATCAGAACCAGGGGGAGACTTGCTTCAGAACCTGAAACGGCAGCGATCTCATTGGACTGGCTGTTAAATTGTGATATCCATCCCATAACATGGGTCTGAAGGTTTCTGTGGGCTCCAGTCTGGAAACCTGATAACCGATAACAGGAAATCAGACCCAGGAAACCTTTAAGAGAGCACGACCCAAGCCCGATTTCATGTTTCTTTTTTTGTGAAATTCCCAATAGAAAGAGGACATCCGGGTTTGTAAGACTCCCACTTTCAGGGCATTTTTAGGCAACTTTTCTATGCTAGCTGAGAACTTTCTTCAGTTTGTGTGAATCATAAAGAAATAAAAACAAAAGACAAAGTACAAAGAACTGAAGCAAAAAAAAAAAAAGATTTACAAATAAACAACTTATGTTAAGACAGATTAAAGTTTTAATAAACACACTTTTGTTGTCAGTGGCTCTGCTACATTCTGGCTTTGCTGGTTGATCTTTATCCTTGACACACTTTTCATACAACTAAATGACTAACAAAGCACTGAATGGTTTAAACAGCAGAAATTGGCAGCAAAGGGAAAACGAAGAAGAAAAACAAATAAAGCTGTGACGGCTTTACGGTCCTTTGGTGCCGGTGTTTCTACAGAGGATAGAAGCTGTGCTCAGTGGGAGAGACTGGAACCACTGGTTCTTCATAGCAGGTCAGTGCACGATGGACGTAAAGCTTGATTAAAGCCTCCCAGGTCATTCACAGCTACTGGAACATCTGGGGGATCGATGTGAACATAACTGAGCTGCTGGTGAAACGTTTGTGCCAGCTGAAGCCCAAACGAAAGGGAATCTCTAAGCAGGCAAAGTCTTGGGCCCATTTGCACAGTTTACTGGGGAAAATATTCAGAGGAAGCAGGTTTCTACTCATCTTCCTTACATGTCTCTTCTTTTCTTTCCAATATAAAAGTTAAATTGTTTTGATTTGAATTTTAAATGAGTTTTTCTGGTGTTTGAAGCAGCTCTGCTTTTATCTAAAGATTTCAGAGAAATGAACAAACAGAAATGGGCTGTAATCAGGACACAGTAGCAAGCCAAGTAAAGAATACACCCCACAGGAAGTCTAGTTTCAGTTCACATGATTCAAGTTTATTTTGGACCAACAAACGCCCCACAGTCTGACCCGTTCTGCAGGCTCCCTAACAGGAAGTGGCTTCATCTGAGCCACAGATGAATACAGGAACTGATCGGCTACAGTAAACCAACTGTCCATCTGACGGGTCACCTTCAGGCTCCGCCTCCTTCACAGCACCTCGCTGCTCAGGTGATGTGAACATACAGTCAATCAATGATTGATCAGTTTAGTTATCAATAACATCTGTTAGTGATCAGATCCAAACACAGTCTGTTATCGATTGATTTTTAGAAGTCGTTAATGTCTGATATAAGGCCATGCTCTTACCCAGAAGGCGGGGCCTGAGCTGTGACATCATATTGCACAACCAATCATCTTCCTCTTCTGCTGACAGTCCAAGGATTATTGATAAGGCATCCGTTCTGACAGGTAATCCCGATCAATCCAATCAATGAGTTGGATGGAAACGGTTCTGTTTGTGCGTCAGTCTGTCAGAACCAGGACAGATCAATCACCAATAAATGACCGATCGCGCTCAGTGAGATGTGGAGGTATCAGTCTTTGGCTTCTGATAATTCAGCTACACATTCCTTCAATCACTTCTATTGATCAGCTCCAGCCTGAACTGACGGTCAGATTCATGTCTGATCTGTAAACGCAGCCTGATCAATCAACTAAAGGATCGAATTTGGGTCTATTCTAGGCAGCAAATAAATTTTCCGTTTTAAATTTCTGACGGCGTCAGTCGGACTAAAGCGCGTCAGGAGGCGGGCAAAGTGGAAACGGTGGGACTAATTGATCGATCACTCAGAGATTGGTAACAGTTATAACTAGGAGCTGATCACAGATCAATCGGCCTGATCAGCTGACAGACTGAGGCACAACGTCCTACAGCTGTGATGATGTCAGCAGGACCACACCTGGGCCCTCAGGACGGGTTCTGCTGCTCCGCTGCACTGCAGTCTGTGCTGTGGAGGGGGCACTCGGGGGGAGGGGGCAACTTCTGTGAGGGCCCCGCCCCCAAAGGCTCCACCACCACCGGCCCCGACCCTTGGAGATCTCTGCCTGCCGTTCCTTTTTCCTCTTCTCCAGTGGCTCCTCCTCCTATTACAGTGGTTCCTCCTCCTGATGAAGCTCCTCCTTCTCCTTCAGCAGCTCCGTCTCCAGCTGCTCCTTCCCCTCCAGCTGCTCCTCCTCCTGAGGCAGCTCCGCTGCCTGAAGCAGCTCCTCCTCCTCCTCCTCCTTCTCCTCCAGCAGTTCCTCCTCTTCCAGCTGCTCCTCCTCCTGAGGCAGCTCCTGCTTCTCCTTCAGTGGCTCCTCCACCCATCCAGAATTCTGCCACCACACTGATTTCTGCTCCTGCAGACCTCTGACCCCCAGCTGCTCCTCCCCCTGAGTCAATGGAGGATGAAAGCGCCTCTGTGATAATGGCGGCCGTCTGGGCGACCCAGTTGAGCTCGGCCCTCACCTCTCCAGGGCCTCCTGCTGGGGCTGAGGAGGAAGGGGAGGGGTCAACCTGAGGCCCAGGAGGGGGGATTTCAGCTGGTTCTGGTTGGCTGGTGTTGACAGGCCCTGGACCGGCGGTGGCGGCGCCAGTGTTGTTGTTGAGGTTGTCCTGCAGAGCGGTCTGGTTCTGACCCGCCTGCTGGTTCTGCAGCAGCATCTCCTGGATCCGGATCTGCTGCAGGATGGCGGGAAGCTCGTAGTGGTGGAAAAAGTAGATCATGGAGTGCTGCAGGAAGGAGAAAAACGTTACCTCACACTGTGGGAGGGGGGCTTCAAGGGCGTGGCGGTGAGGATGACTCTTACCTGGATGAAGAGCCAGGAGGTGACCAGAGCCAGGCTGCTGTACTGACCGTTGAAACGGTAGTGGTAGGCGTAAAAGGCGAAGTGGTACAGGTAGAAGAACCTGAGAGCAGAGGTTATGCGACCACATCACTCAACACGTCCCTTGAAGAGGAAGAGCCTCCTTTGAATCACAGCTTAAAAGTTGGCTGGGCCAGAAAACAAAGGCCATGGACTAACCTCAGCCAGTGGCGTTTGCTGGTGTTGGTGTGGCAGCAGATGGCGTCGTACTGATCAGCCAACCACACAATGAGGATAATGTAGAAGGCCGTTGTCGTGTCGTTGAAGAACTCTGACATTATAGCCTCCATGCCTAGAAACAGGAAGTGACAAATAGCAGCTTTATTTTAAATAAACAGGCAGAGCTAAAAAAAAAACAAAAAACTAACACAAAACAAACAAAAAAAGCCTGCTTTAAACTTCACCTATAAGGAGCGGAGCTAAAACACAGCCTGTTAGACGTGAGGGCTAGATTTCAGAATCCTGAATCTATAAGATTCTGATTCAGATCTGTTCTAAATTTGGCCCCAATTCACAGCTCCTTTGTGGGATTTACATGACTGTGGAAGAATCGGAGGTGGGTCAAGCAGAGCCAATGAGCTGGGTCAATGAACAGGAAGTCTGAGGTTGGAAGCATACCGACGAGGGCCAGAATGACGGTGAGCAGAGGGGCTGCTGGGAAAGCGATGGTCATGTTCATCTCCAACATCTGCAGAAGGTCAACTGGAGGGAGACACAAAGACACCAAATAAGGTTCTGATCCTTTTCTGATCAGATGTGTTTGATTTAGTAATGAAAAATGTTGGACGTTAACAGCAAATATGTGGTATTAACGCTTTTAAGAAGACTGTTTTTAACCAATTCCATTGAAAAGATTCCTGAACAATTCACTCTGAACTGGGCAGGGCAGATATTTCCCAGTTAGGCTGAACTGGACCAAAGCATCTGAACTGTTCTTGGCTCATGGTTTTCATTGCATACTGGTCCATTCTGGGTCCAGCAGAGTTCTGAGCCAATCAAATCAGGCCGCACTGAGCCATTCTGGATAAGCACGTAAGTGGAAACTGACCGATGAAGACGAAGATCTGGTGATGAGAGTATCTGAGCAACATGGACACCGACAGAGTCTGAAAGACACAACAGAGGCCGTCACACAAACCTTTTCCCCTCAGAACATCCAGACGGGACCATTGATGAACAAGGGCAGGCAGAGATCAGCTGTTTACTTACGAATATGACCATAATGACGAAGGCGGCCAGGTAGGAGGTGCGCGCCATCCACATGCTGACGAAGCGGTAATGTTCTCCTGACACCACGTTTCTCAGGAACCCTGAACAGAACCACATGAGGTTCAGAAACACTTGAAATGCTCCCTCAGACACCGAAGCACTGAGCGAGGGCTGCGAGGCTTTACCTTTGTTCTCCTCGTTCTCAGCGAGCGCCTTCACGCTGGACATTAGAATATCGTCGTATCCCAGAAACTCGTCCAGCAGGAAGCGGCTGAAGCCATCCCCGAAACACTCGTCCTTCGTGGGGTCTAAACACAGACAGGGCCAGCAGGGTCAGGACCTCAATCATCGCATTTCCTGTGTTGTTTCTATGGGTTTTCATGCTTTTGTGTGTTCCCTGTTCTGCACTCTAGTCAGTTGTTGCTGTTTTTAGACTTTTAAATCAATGGCCATGTGACGATGTTGGTGGAAATCTGACCCAGAGTGACGACCATCACAGGGATGTTGAGTCTCTGTCGGGTGCTCTGACACAGGCGCAGGAAGCCGTACTCCAGAGAGTATTCCACAATGTATTCCTCCTGAGGCCACACTAGATACAACAACAGCAGCACAGAGTTAGCAAACTACAACACAATGTCAGAAAATACTAAGCATATAACAACAACAACCCAATGTTAGAATGTATTTAGCATTTAACAAATACATGATGTCAGCAAGCAGCAGCAACAACCCAACATAGGGAAAAAGTCAGCATTGAACACAATGTTATGAAACAACTACAACACGACAATAACAGATGACAAGACAATACTGGTAAACAAAGTTAGCAGTAATCATAACAAGTCAATATGGCATTAACAACCACAGTTAGCAAACGACAACTGAAGACAGTATTAGCAAACAACAACAGCATGATGTTACTAAACAGTTAACATATGACAACAACACAACATAAGCAAACAACACGTCAACAAACAGATCAACTAAAACAAAAACAAAGCCCGAAACATCAAAGAGCTATTATAAACATTTGCAGAAGCATCAGAAAAAGAACGCAACATCAAAGAGAAGAGTTTCTAAACACGACAAACAGTCAGAGCAACGGCTTCAGAGGCACCACGGCAATGAGTCGGGAAACAATTCGGACAACCAGTCAGAAAATGAGTCAGGTAACGAATCAGACGCAGAGGAGGAGCCATGGGGGGGGAGGTGGGTTACCTGCTCGGGTCATCATCTCCAGCTCAGACACTGAGTCCCGCAGCGGCTGCATACCTTTAGAGGTCTGGCTGAAGGACACGTCCTGGCTGTCGTTGGCACCCCCTGCTGCTCCTCCAATCACTGACGGCTTCAGACGAGGCTCAATGTCCAGTTCAAACTGCACACAGGCGAGGGGGCAGACGGTTGAGAGGGCAGACAGGAGAGAGGGCAGACAGGGGAGAGGGCAGATGGGCGTGGGGGCACACAGGTGAGGCTCTCACCTGCACAGAGCTGTTGTCAAACATCTCCAGGGTCATCTCCTCCTCATCCTCCTCTTCCTCGGGCATTGCAGCCAGGCTAAGTCCCAACTCCCCATCCAGCTCCTCCTGGAGGCCGGCGCTGTCGTAGTTCTGCAGGAAGACAGCGGCCCGGCTGGAATTCCTCTGGATCTCCACCCGCAGGATGCCATCACGGGGCCAGCGCTCCCGGACTGCCTCCAGGCAGTTGATGGGTGAGCGGGAGAAGGCGATGTGAATGTAGGCCAGAATGAAGAGGACGAAGAGTGCCTGAGTTGGTGGTAGAACACGCCACAATAAGCCAATCAGAAAAGCTGAGCCCAGAGCAGTGTGATCACATCTGAGTGCCCCTGTAGTGTACCTCACCTTCAGCAGAACAAAAAACTCAAACACTCTCCTGAACGATGGCGGGAAGAGCCGGGCATAGGTGACAGCCATCTTGAAAAAGAGGGCATGGAAGAGGCGGTCCCGCACATTAATGAGGGGGTTTTGGTTGATGTTGGGGTTCCGGACCCGGTTGGGCCCCACATTGTTGTTGTTGTTCAGGGGTATGTTGTTGTTGTTGGCCTGGTTCTCCGACATCGTGACGTTCTCCGAGAACTTGTTCTGCACAAACTCGCCGCCACCAGCTGGTCCTAAGTCAGCATGGCTGCCGTCGACGTCCTGGGAGTGAAGGCTGGCCACGGGCCCAGATATGTCTGTCCACAGCTGAGTTTGCACACCTGAATCAGAGGGAACAGTCCCACAACCTGGATCAGAACTGAAGGACGTGGCTTAAACCAGGTGCTACCTGGTACCACTGGCACCAAAGCAATCCCTCTCTAGAACCTCAACTCAGTTCTGTCCCTAATCCACCAACATACCCTGCTCTGCACATTCACCCGGGACCCCTCACAACTGCCTGTCCCCCCCTCTGAGACCTGACAAGCTCAGTTGCTCACCACTGAGACAGAAACCTCGCTGACTGTCCGAGCTGCTGGCAGGATCTAAACCTATACTGAAAGAGGAATTATGATGGACAAAGACCCGCAGGATGTTCTGGACATGGCCGCTGAAACACCTGTAAACACAGCTGCTGACGTGTTGTGGGCCCGTCGGAGGATAGCATGATCACGACAAAAACGCTGCATGTCCCTACAAATAAAGCCACGCCACCACTTAGAGGTTTGTTTGACCCCAACACTGACGCGTTCAGGTGCTCTCTGCCATGGTCAGTATGAGCTGACCTGTGACGTCATCCGGCCGTTTCAACATATGGGTCGTCAGGTGTGTTTGGGGCCTGCTGCCTCTGCGCCCCGGCAGGTAGACAGCCTTCAGTTCTGCGTCAGTTGTGCTGACTTACCCGTCTGTGGCTTCACAGCTCCGTGCCCATGTCAGCGATGGTCGTTCTTCTTCGACGTTTTCATCAGGAGCTAAAGCAGACTGTGAAACGCCACAGCTAGCCGTTAGCAGCCTGTGTTAGCAAGGCCGCTAACGTTCCTTAAACAGCAGGGTTAGCCGTTAGATAAAGACCCCCAGGCCGGCAGAGGAAACTATTCAGACCGATGAGGGCCAGATAAAACCGGTCAGAGCTGAGTCCGAGTCTCCTGAAAGACTATAGTAACTCCGAGCCTTAGCTAACAGCTCCAGTTGCAAGACCGAATCACAGCCGCGGCGGAAATACGGGTGCGCAGGTTCCTTCACCCTCAGTTTTGACTGCAAGGCGCATGATAAATCCCTGAGTAATGTCTGCCAGGTTCCTGTGGCACATCCTGAGCAGATAATGACAGGTTCCTGTACTTTTTCTCCCTGTCTGTGCTTTTTCTCCCTGTCTTGTAACGTTATACTTTTGTAAACTCTTGGGACCACAAGTAGACCTGCAGTCTACAAGCAAAGGGCTCTGCTCGGAAAATAACCAATTATAAACTGAGGACAGATCAAATGTTTTGAGAGGGGCTCAATGTGGAGTTCAGAATTTTTTGGTTTAAGAGTCTGAATAAAAAAGGGATAGTTTTGAATGATTGAATTACAGAAACCTGCTGTCAAATAAAAGAAAACATTTATAAGATAAAGTATCTTAACTAGAAATATGATAGCTCTGCATCCTCCATCCTGCTTCTCTTACCTAATAACCACACATCAAAGAGCAATCTGACAAAAGTTCTGTTAGTCCTGTTGCTGGGAGACAAGATACTGCCATATAAAGTGAAATCTCATGTTTTGGGTGGCTTTTTAATGTGACATGTGACAAATCAGGATTCATATATGCAGAATTACATAAAATAATGGATTTTCTTTTCCAGATTTCAACAGTTACTGTTCTTAAATTCTGCTGGTTACCTTTCCCATGGTGCTTTGCGGTGAGTTGTGGTGTGGCTCCTGATTACTAAATATTGATCTGGTTTTTATCTTTAGCTGTGGGATTATTACACAGACCTTTTTGGATCAGGTTCTGTTTGGCTTACAGTCTAAGTGATGATATTTTTCTAAGGGTTTTATTCTAAATCTGAATAATCTTCATTATTGTTTATTTTCCCTTATTGTTAATTTGTTGTTATTTATTGTTCATTATGGTTTATTTTCCCTATTGTTTATTTTGTTGGGTGTTTTGATTATTTGTCAGTATTAGTTGCTCATTTCAGCATCTCGTTTGTGGTTGGTCGGTTTGGACGACTGGTTCAGCCTCTGAGTTTTTTCATCTCCTCATTTATATGTAAATTAAACTCTTTTAATAAATCTGTATGGAGCCTCATTGCGCCGGAGCTTAATTCTGATTGGACAAAGTCTTTCTGGCCATGGTGACATCATAATGACATCCTGACTGGGAAGTTTTTGCAGCAAGAGTCTGCACACATGAACCAACACACGCACACACCTTCCTGGCTGCTGTTGCCATGGCAACACAGTGGTTGCCGCATTGCCTCCAGAAATAAGGAAGAACAGTGTGAGTGTGTGTTTGTGTCTTTATGAGGACCAGGTGATGTTCTGCAAACACTTAGGGTTCTAGTTCTGATCAAATTAAACACAAGCCTTTTCTGATTAATTGTGGAGCAGATGAAGTTGTGATTTCACTTTTTGTGCTCTCCGAGGCACCCCACCGACAATTCCCTGAAAAATGACCATACTTATAGTCCTCAGATGCGTGTTAGTTAAATGGGCCGGTCATGTGTCACCATGATCCACCCAAACCAGACATACCTGTTCTCTTACATCTCAGGTGTCAGCTGCTTACCAAAACCTCCCAGAAGCTGAGAAGGTGTGGAATACTAAGGATCTTGCATCCTCTGACAGTTGCATCACGTGTTTTCTCTCAAAATGAATTAATTCCGGCTCGTCCTGATGTGAGCTGTGAAAAACAAAACTTCAGTATGAATGTGTTGGATCTTAATAGTAGGAAAAAAGAATCAAACCAAACCCAACTTTGAAACCGAAAAAAGGCCTGAAAAAAAGGTCTGAACTTGTTTACTCAAAGTCCTGATCGGCCTCTCTTTTTCAACCCTCTAATGTGTTCCTGAGCAGCATTCTGCAGCTTTTCTGAAGCTGTTTTAGAGTTTTTCTGCTTTTTCTCTCATTTTCAGCACAATTCTTTAAGCATTTTTAGAGGAATGCGTTTTTTCTTTTTTAAGCCACTTAACTCTGAGCTCTAAATCATACAGCAGAAAAAGGCCCCTAACTTAAGGGATGATCTGCTTAGTTATGTCAAACACGGAACAGTCAACTTAGCAAAGAAGAAGTTTAAATTGGGCCTTCAGGCTCTTTGTTACCAGCAGCCTGTCACAGAGACACATCATTTGTTCCCATTTCTTTAGTAGATGTGTGACAAATGCTAAAGATAACACAGTTTGACATACAGAAAACAGGACTTTTCAGAATAAAGGAGCTCAGATTGATTCTGTTTCTGCAGCTGGTTCCCGTATCATGTAAAATTAGGCTGATAAAGAGTTTTAACAGGGCTGGATCAGTCACAGAGGAACAGTGTTAAAAACCTGATGAGAAACAGGGATGAAGAACACGTTTTAATTTATTTTCATCCTAACGAGCACAGAGCATGCAGCACCATCATCAGTCTTTTTATAGCAGCACTTTGTCTTTTTACAGTCACGTGATGAACGGGTTCAAGATAAACAATGTTTCATGGTTCTACATTCAGATGGAGACACTGAGTCGGTCCCTCTGGGTTTAACGGCCTCAGATCACATGCAAAAACACAGACACGTTACTGGGCCCTAAGCAGGCGGCGACCATAGAGTGGGTCCGGCTATAAGGCTTTTCCAGTCGACAGTCTTATTAATGGTCATACTCAGAATGTGCTGGCCGGAGTTGCATCTTTAACAGGAAGGGTCAGAACCGGTCCACTCTGCAGCATGCTGTCCACCAAAGCCACGGAACAATAAAAACAACCAGCTTTTTTCTGATCTGAGTCAGTCAACACGGTACCAGAGAAAACATTCAGGACATTCACAGAACTTCAATTCCCATGTGAAGCACAGGCCGGGTCCACCCTGTTCACTCAGAGGCCTCAGCCAATCAGAGGGCAGCACTCAGACAAACATGCCAGAGTCACTATAGCAACCAGCCATGACAACACAGCAGCAACAACACGGTCATCCAGGAAATTTACAACTTGGGACAGGTTCTGGTGCTGGATCCAGGTTCTGCTGTATGGTTCGGGTTATACTGTAATGTCCATCATCTTCTGTATGGCTTTTGTTCTGGTTCTTGTTTGTGGCTCAGGTTCTGGTGTATGGCTCTGGTTCAGCTCAGTGGTTCTGATGTATGGCGTCTGTATTCTTTAATTTTAGGATAGTTGAGTCAGATGTTGAGTCCCCTCCGTTGTCGTGGGAACCACTCAGCATACTGTGGATGTTGTCGCTCCGCCTTGTTGTGGTTCTGTCTGGATGCGGTCTGTTCAGGATGGGTTTCTGTCAGGAGGTGGTTCTATCAGGATGGGGTTCTGACAGGATGTGGTTCAGTTAGGATCTGGTACTGTCCGGACGTGGTTCTGTCGGGATGGGGTTTTGTCAGGGATGGGGTTCTGTCTGAATGGGTATCTGACAGGATGTGGTTCAGTTAGGATCTGGTACTTTCCGGATGTGGTTTTGTCAGGATGCAGTTCAGTAAGGATGGGGTTCTGACCTGTTGTGGTTCTGTCTGGCTTGTGGTTCTGGTCGGGTCTGTCACAGATTAAGGCTGCTGAGTTCAGTCCTTGAACCTTCGCCCCTGCAGACTCTTATAATAGTTTTCCTGCTCAGCCTGGTTCCGGATCTCTCGGTCCAGCAGAACCAGCGCCGTTTTGCGTCTCATGGCCATCTCCCTGCGCTGAGCGTCCGCGGACATCTCGGCCTGCGGGTCGACGGCGGCGCGAGGCGAGACGGAGCGGCGTGGGCAGAAGCTGCTGCTGCGGTCCCCCCGGCTCAGATTGTTCAGGTTGTAGGTGTCTCGCGGGTCGTTCCCATTGGACATCACACCCCACTCCCACGGATTCCCGTTGCCTGCCAGGGGTGGGGCCTGAGGGGGGGTCGGGGCACGCACAACAGGGTGTTGTGGGCCGTGGGCGTCCACTGTGGGGAAACTCCGCCCCTCCCGGTGATGGTCGGAGGGAGGGTGGTAGTGCGGTGAGTCCGTGGTGGAGGAGGTGCCGGAGCAGGTGGAGGTGGTCTCGGAGGACTTCTCGCCAGAGGAGGAGGAGGGAAGGAGGCCCTGCTGCTTGGACATGGCAATGACCTGCATCAGCCGGGGCTGGCCGGCAGAGCCGCGGGGCGAAGCGTCCCCGCTCGTCTTCTCTCGGATGGCGAGCCATTTGGCCCGGGTCAAGGCGCTCTTTGGGGACACTGGGGGAGGTCCTGCTTCGGGGATCTGAGGCGGCCTGGGAGTTGGCACGGCTTTAGCACCGCCTGGAGGTGGAGTAGGGTTGCGGCCTGAGCCCCTCCTCCCAGACTTGACGGTGGGCTGGCAGATGGGAGCCTGGGATCCCCCGTCATCGGTCCCCACGGAGCCCACCTCAGAGCTGTCCTCGCCGGCCTCACACTCCGCCTCATCCCGGACGCTCAGGCCTCGCATCTCCATGGACTTCTGCTTCCACTCTGAGACCAGCTGCTGCGAGCGCATTGGGTCCAGTGGTACCTGCACCGTGTTCAGGCGCCGCTGCACAGCCTGGCCCAGGTGCGCCGGCTGCCCCGGGTTGGCCGCCTGCCCTGGTTCCTCTGCCCCGTCCGAATCCAGCACCCCGTCAATCTTCATGCTCGCCCTCGGCAGCGTGTTGCTAAAGGTCAGCATGGTCTCCTTCCCCATGGGACTCCGAGGAGCCAGGAGCTCCACGTCCACGCTGGCCCTCTTGAGGCTCCCCATGGATCCCTTTTCCCTCTGCAGGGGCCCCAGGCCCTCCAGCCGGTCCAAGGGGGCAGGGGCCGATGTAATCTCATCGTTGCTCTCTGAAGCGGAGGCGGGGCCCTTGTTGTAGACAGAGTCGTGTCCTCGCTCTGTCAGAGCACGAAGAGGGTCTTCCTTCAAGGGTGGTGGGGGTGGAGCCTGAGTTACATCATCAGAGGACTTGAAGTTGGAAACGGCGTGAAGTGCCTGAAGGACAGTGAAAGCAGATGGTCACAGAGCTGCTTCTGACGGGGCTAACTCTGCAACCTCACCAGCACAGACTCACCAGGCGGGCCGGCAGAACTCACCAGGTACGCAGCGATGAAGGCTCCAATGAGGAAGCCCACGTACACGTCAATGGGATGGCTGCGGTGCTGCGTGATCTGAGTCAGGCCTGTCAGCGCCGCGGCGATGGCGAACGCAAAAACCAACAATGGCTTCAGCAGCTTGGTGCTGTCCGAGATGGTCGAATTAAAGTACATCTGGAGGACAGAACCAGTCCAAAAACAAGATCCATTAGAACCAGCACCACAACCAACAGCAGAACCAAGATCTGAACAAAAAAAAAACTAAAACTCAATGAGCGGCCTACAGACAACTGCAGTAAACCTTTCAGGTGTTGGGTCTGATTCTGAAAGTCCTTCATCAAAACTGAAGCTTTTTTTTTGGAAAAACTTACAGAAACGTAAACAGCAGCGAAGGCCGACAGAGTTGCATGCTGGGAAGGAAAAGTCCTCCTGTTGGGAGACATATCTTTCGTCAATAATCAGTCCCCACCCGTCCAACCACACAAGCAGATGTGAGCCGAGTACCTGGCGGCCATGATGGCATGCTGGTCGTGTCCTGAGCAGATGTCCTTGGTGATGTAAACGTTTTTGTCACAGGACGCGCCTGCCAGGGTGTAGTTGGGCTTACAGACGGTGAGGAAGAAGGGAGCATGGTACCCCGTGGACAGCTGGATGATGTCGGTGAGCAGCGCGGTCGCACACAGCCCGAACACGTGCACACCTGCAGACAGAGACGGTGCCGGTCAGGGACAGGAGCCGGGCCAGCGGGTGTGTGTCGGGGCGGCAGCCACAGAATCGCACCTACGAAGCGGACCGTCCTCCTCAGGAATGAGTTGAAGCTGCAGCCTCCAGCGTTGATGCTGCCTTCTGCTCTGCGGAGCTTCAGCCGGGACTGCAGGCAGTAGATGACCCCTTCAACCAGCATGATCTGGTAGGAAAAAAACACAGTGAGCAGCTCCTTTGGCTTCCAACCCAGGCTCGGGAATAATCTATGTAAGCTGGGACCAGCTCTGGAACTGATCCGGGGCTGGCCCCGCAGCTCTGTAGCAACTAGCCCTAACAGTGGTCACAACGTTCCACAGATGATGGTCACCATACCGAAGCAGCAGGGCCGGCGAAGGCGAGGCTCAGCAGCATCAGCAGCGGGATGAGCTCGTCTCCTCCATCCACGTAGGGCATGCTGAGGTCTCTGTCGTGGCAGCGGAACCCCACCTGAGCCGGCTGGACCACGTCCGTCAACTCCAGGAAGTAGAGTGACACCATTGAAGAGGCCACGATGGGCAGCTGCAAGGAAAACAACCAAAAGAGCAGGTAAGGACTTTGAGAATGTCAGGTTCTGCCGACCGAGAGCAGCCGACTGGCTCTGAAACCAATCAGGGGCTCTGAAACCAACCAGAGGGGACGAACCCCCGTGACTGTCAAGTGTTCCTCACCTCCACAAAGTAGAAACATGGCAGCAGAGTCAGGCTGTCTTTTGGAGGTTTCTTCTTCATCTTCTCTGTGGGGGAGGAGGTCATCATCATCATCATCATCATCCACCTGCAACACAAACAGCCATGCATATGAGTTATCTTCATCATCTTCATCATTGTGTGGTGCGGCGCCACCTGCTGGCTGGGTTTTCGCAGGCTCTTGCATCAGGACATAATCTCAAACAAACCTTTGATCTGAAAGCCGGGGCGATGGAGGAGAACTTTCCTGAGCTCAGGAACTTTTTCAATAATGGCTCAGAGCTCCCACACAGACCCGGGTTACCCCTCGCCTCCTACATTCTCCTACATGGCCCCCTTGCGGCCCTTAAGAAGCCACAGAAGACTCTGCTTTTCCCAGAGTTCCTCCTCTCAGAACAAACGAACCTCTCAGGCAAACAAGGGCAGCTGGACTTATTGGGTCTTTGGGACGTTTCACTGCACATCTGAAGTCAGGCTCTCAGCCGTTCAGACATGGAGGAAGACCTCAAAGATCCAAAAGAAGGAGTCCAGCTGCCCTGAGGGTCACATGACCCGGTCAGAACAGCAAACAGAACCCAGACTGAACCACAACCAGGTGTTGACACAGGATGCTGATGAGACGGATGCTGGTTCTGGTCCGGTTCCGAGGCAAAAGTCCAGGTAACTTTAATGAGAACCTTAAGGTTAAGCTTCATCTTCGTCATCCTCATACACCAGCTGTCAATCAGACCAGTCGGAGCTCCTCCACCCACCCACCCACCCACACACTCAAACACACACACACATACACACGCACGTGCGTGCGCGCGCGCGCAGGTTTTACGGTGTGGAACGACTGCAGCCCTCTGCGGCCCGGTTCGGAGCAGGTCGACACCAACCCCGTGAAGGCTCCGTGTCACGTCTCCGACGTGCACGCGCGCGCGCGCTCACGCACATAAACACACACACACACACAGACTCACGCATGGCGGAATCAGTTCGTCTCACCTCAGCCCACAGAGCCGCTCTGATCCAGCTGCTCTGCCGCAGGAACGGAACCGAACGCGCCGCGGAGCCGACACGCCTGTCTGGTTCGCGGTTCGGTCCCGTCAGACACGTTTTCGGCTCCGCTCTCCTTCGGGATCCGCAGAGCTGAAACCCGCAAATGTCTCGTGGAGGATGTGCTGCTGCTGCTTGGCGCACGCGCGCGCGTGTTTGTGAGGGAGAAGGGCAGAGAGTGGGCAGAGACGCGGAGCAGCCCCGTCGTCGTGTGCGCGAGGATTAACACCGCTGCTGTACAGGCTGTGACGTCACGTGTGATGTCACAGCATGCACGGCAGATGCTCCTGCGGGCTCACCTGTGCCCACCTGACCCTTCAGTCTGCACCTTTTTACATGAAGTCCGGTCTGTCCGAGACCGGTACCGCAGAAGTCACTTGAAGCCCTATGTGGAGCCCCCGCCAGCATTCTGACCAATCCGGGGTCAAGATCAGGTCTCACCTGGTCTGGTCTGTACAGGCCCAAATGTTGGACCTTGACCCTGAGCAGGTTTGGCTCTTAAGGAGGCTGCCCTCATTCCGGCCCAGTTTATACCCGTTTGTATCCAGAGAAAACGGTTCTGCAGACTAACTGCAGCTGCTCTCTCTTCTGTCATTTATTCTGACTAAATTTAAGAAAATGTATATTATTTACATTAAATGAATGGTTGTTTGTGTATGACTTCCCTCTTTTAACCATTCATTCACCCTCAAATGGACCTTTCTGGAATAACGGTCTCTTTGGACAGGAATGGGTGAAAGACACATACTTTGTTCGCTTTTATTAAAAAAAAAAACGAAAAAAAAAACATTCTATTTACAGGCAACAGTTTGAACATTGTGTTCTGGATCAGAGCCAAAACCACAGGCAGGTCAGGTGAGAGTGGGCGGGATCCTCCTCCACAGGCCTCCACACAGGCAGTTCTTGATCCAGCGCTGCTCCCACTGCTTCATGGCGTTTGTCTTGTTGGGCGAGCGGAGCATCGTCACACAGCCGCACCTGAAGAGAGCGGAGTTTTGCACGTCAAAGCCGACTACTGCGCCTCGGATCACCTGTGACATCATTTCCTGCGGACCCACCTGGTGCAGGCCTTGCTCTCCTCGGTGGGGCACACGCCCATGTGGACGCAGCGCAGGTTGTCCATCTTCTGGCAGCCGGGACTCCTGAGCACAAAGGCATGGCAGATCACCTGGACACGTGCACGACAAGCACTGGGACAGCCCAGGCGCGCTCACCTGGTGAATGCCTCCAGGGGGACGGAGCCTCCGGCTCCCGGTAAGGACGAGGCTTTCCCAAACTGCAGCCGGAGCGGGTGCTTCCCCTGAAGCTTCACCATGACGCCGTCGTTCACGGGCAGCCAGTCCATGCTGGGAACCAGCAGCTGGCTGGGCAGCAGGCAGCACTCATCTATCAGGCTCTCATCGGGCTCCTGGGGGGGGCCGTCGTCCCGGGCTGGAAGTAAACAAGGTCAACGGGTCAGAGCGAGAGGGTGCAGGGAACCTCAGAGTGGCCTCCAACAGAGGAACCTCAGAGCGGGTTCTTACAGCAGAGCCACAGCTTGGTGAGCAAACGGAACAGCAGCTGCATGCTGTCCTGGGTGTCGGACGTGGCGGTGAAGGTGGGCAGGCAGCCGGGCTTCAGCAGACCCCAGATGCGGATCATCACCAGCATCTCCCTCAGCATCCCGAGAGACGCCCCGTCCCGCATAAAGCCGAAGCCCGGCCGAACCATCGAGCCCTGCATGACACGGAAGGGACCTGGGTTACCTAATGCTTTGTGACAACATCCAATAAGTCGGATGATTAAATCATTCCGATTTAGTTGTTGTTATTCATCCATCACACCTGAGAGGCCGAGCTTACCTGGTTGGGCAGGTTGGCCAGCAGGTAGAGAACAAAGTCTCCCACCCACTGGATGAGCTGCTGCAGGGACTGAAGGGGGGGGCCATCCAGCACAAACTCCTCTGTCTTCAGATTGATCATCACCTTATCGATATCTGAGGAAAGCACGCAGTGATCAGCTCAGATCCCCCCCCCCTGCTCGGCAGCCCCTCCCACCCTTCTCACCTGTGTCCGTGTTCTTAGCGCAGATCTCCGTCAGCCGGTCCCCCGGACTCTTGTCGGGGGTGTTGAGGACGTGCGGCCTCAGCAGCGACTTCAAGGTGGAGCTGATGGCGATCAGCAGCAGCTTGGCGTGGAAGTCGCACGCCCGGGCCGCCGTCGCCGTGGAGAGCTTGCACAGGGAGGCCTTGACGGCCACGATGCGCGTGGCCAGCACCTGCTGCAGCGCCTGGTTCTGCCTCATGTACTCCTCGTGCAGCTTCTCCACCAGGTTGTGCACCATGCCGGGCTGCACGTGCAGCAGCACGTCCCACCAGTCGTAGCCCGTCACCATGCAGTACTCCAACAGGAACAGCAGGTGGCGCAGCGTGGTGTTCATCTCCAGCACCTGCCCCATGGAGGGCGACACCCGCAGCATGTGGAGCTGCCCCAACAAACGCCACACGTTATTAGCACCAGAAATAACCTGGGGGGGTATAAACGCTCAGGAATGGCTCCCCCCTCACCTTGCCGTGGTTGTCGACACCAGCCAGCGCCAGCGAGGTCCAGGAGAACTGCAGCGCCTTGAAGTGGAGGGTGGGCCCTGCAGCCCTCTGGCGTTTGATGGCGGCCTCGTCTCCGGGCCGCTGAGCGGAGGACGAGCCGTAGAACACGCCCATGGTGTGGAGGGAGAGGCGGTGGAGGATCTGAATGCTGCCGTCATGAAACGCCAGAGCCAGACCTGAAACGCACAGGCCCCGGCTCAGAACCGGCTCTTCCAGATCCTACGTGAATTCTCTGAAGGAGTTTCTGCGGGGTCCTGCTCACCGAGGCCGGGGCAGAACTTGGTGTCCGACGCCACCTTCAGGTCAGTGTTGGAGATGGAGATGGGCAGTTTGGGCAGAGCAACGGCGGACACCCGCTCCAGGTCGCCGGTGGTCGTCAAGATGCGCCACTTCAGGATGGTCGGCTGCTTCTCCCCGACTGCACGGAGGTCGAGGGTGAGACAGCGGGACGCACTCAGCAGAACCGACCCGGTCAGGGTTCTTACCGACTGGCGAGCGGTGCTGGAAGATGTTATTGACCGGTAGTCCCTCCTTCCTCAGAGACCAGCACTCCACAATGCTGCCGCTCTGATTGGACGCACAGAGCAGCACCTGAAACAGAGGCCCGTCAGAGACCTGTTCTGACCCGTCCGAGAGCCTGGCCCCGCTGCTGGAATCACCTGCTCCGAGTTCTCCCTGGTCAGGAACTTGAGGTGTGTAACGGCGGGGTACTTCTCCCTCCTCATGGGGTCGGTGGTGCAGCGCAGGAACAGCGAGGGCAGCAGCTCCGTGTCGATGCGGCACTTCTCACTGACAACGCTCACGACCACCTGCACACACCAACGTGGGTTAGAGGGGTAGGCAGGGTCATCAGGGAGACCGCTCACCTCCGACGCAGCTCACCTTGTAGAACTGGACGGGAGAGGAGCTGCTGCCATCGGTGGCCGCCACCACGATGTTCCCTCCTCCGGTAAAAGCGATGTCGGCCAGCGCCACACGACCCCTTAGCCGGCACAGGCTCTCGCTCGCCGTCAACAGAGCGCCGCCCGGCTTCAGCAGGGACACGGTGACCAGCCCACTCACCGTCACCGCCAGCCAGCCCTCCATGGGCTTCCCGCCAAACAGCGTCAGAGACGGCGAGAACTTCACCCGTGAGAACTTCTCGCCGAAATTGGTGGAACCCGACTGAGGCAAGAGAAGGCGGGCGTCACATTTTGCCTGACTCGCAAGCCATTCTCACCTGAGAGCGCACGTCTTACCATCTCCACGTGTAGCGCCAGCTTGACCCCGTTGTGCAGCCAGCTCAGTGCAATGATGGGGTCACCCTCCAGGGAGCTGGACAGGACGCTCTCCCAGCTGTTCACCAGGTGATCCGACATGGACCAGCACCTGATGTGGCCGTCGCCATCAGCCGACAGCAGCCGCGAGCCTGTGCACACATGTACTTTACTAGAACCAGGCCCCATCTCCAGGGTGCTCTATGCTCAGCGGTGGACTTACCTGATTGGTCCCACTCCAGACATGAAATGACCTCAGAGTGCCCAGAACTGATGGAGAAGACGTCCCAGGGGTGCTCGGTGTCGATGATGTGGATCATGTGACTGACTTCTGGAACACAGGGAGCCCTCAGTGAGCGTGCATGGAGCTGTGCGCACGGACCTGTGAGTGCACCTACCCTTGTCTTCGCTGTCGTTCTTCAGGTCGGTGGTGAAGGCCACCAGGTTCCGGCAGGACCAAGCACAGGCCAGCGGGATGGACGGGCAATGTGTGCTCTTTGGCCGTTTCTCCCACTCACACACGTACGCCAGCTCCATGATTTCACCAAAGAAGGAGAAGCTTCCCCTCACCTGCCGACAGGTGATAGTGCTATGACCAACCACAAGAAACCAACCTAACCTAACATTGTGCACGTTTTTAATACTTATAATATTCTGGCCAATTGTGAAATACAAGCAAAAAACAAGGTTGAAATAAACGTAAGTCAATCCTACGACTAAGTCTCTCCATTGCAAATTCCCTTTAAAAATCCTGAAATTAAAGATCTTTTTATACTTCGGTGCTATGTGATTCATCCTTTAAAAAAACGTAAAAAAACAGAAACTCAGAAGACAGAGGTTCAGCCGAATTAGGCCACACTTTTCATTCGTTTAATTAGCGCAACTTTGAGGTAATTGCATCAAATATTAAGCAGAAGTTCATATAAAACATATATTGACTTGTTTCCATGTACAATTGCATGGAAACAGGTCGATATTTGTTAGCTTACCTGATTTGATTTCTGCTTCAACGACGCAAATAAAACGTCGCTTTTTGTTCAAAGCAACAAACCGAAATGTATAATTAGCCCATGAACTGAACCAGTGTCAGTTTCAGTTTTAAGAAGTAGTTTTATTCATTCGATGGTGCTCGCAAACTATCTCCTGGGCTCCCAGACCTCAACAATGTGTCAGGACCCGACAGCCGTGAAAGCTGTCCGTGCCACTGCCTGTTTGTTAAACAAACACGGTTGACCCGCTCACTGAACGACTTATTAACTGTCGTACAAATCGTCGTCGCAGTTATATGTGATATCTTGCGCCAGTTGTATGAATATAATAATATTTCAGATATGATGGTATACCTGGATAGGGCAAACAGCAGTCCAGGTTGGACTGCTGTTTGCAATTAGGAGCCTCCCGGGCAGCCTGCTCTCATAGCGGGGACTTTCGCTGCCTCTTTAGTGTGTCAAACTTCTTTAAAATCGCATTCCTTGTCATTTTCAGGAATTGGGTCCCTGTGGATCCATTATAGACCAATATTTTTGCACAAAATCACAACAGTTATCATCTGTATACAATTAATTTTATTGTAATTTATTATAAAAAAAATTAAAAGTGTTAAACTGCAAAGATGTTTTCTTGAAACGGGTACTTTGAAGTATGACTTTCTACAATTAATAGCTTCTTCATGTTTAAAAAAAATATTTTTTGGATTAATAAAGCAATGTTTATTCATTGTCATTAGTAAATGTTAACATAGTGATTAAACCCAGAGGAAGAACAGGTCCTGTATTTTCTGAAGATCAATTTCTGCAAACAGACTTGGCATTTCCCCAAAACACACTCAAGCTTTTAACGGTGGGGTATTCTGTAAAATCTATTCCTGGGTGAGGTTTCAGGATGTCTGAAGTCCTTTGTTTGAACGCTCCATGTTCAGCGCTCCCACACCAACAGAAGTTATGAAGAGTAAAACCCTCTGATCCTCATAGAGCTGTGTTTTCATTGCTCAAGCAGGAATGTTTTTTATTCATGTGCTTATGCATGTGCTTAAAATCATAAATCCACAGATTTGCTGTCAAATTAAACACCTGTGAATCAGTCACTTGTTGTAAGTCTTTGAATGCAACACGATGTCTACTTCAGGGTACTGAAGGGTATACTCAGCAAATGATTGGACAAGGCAAAGGCATGTCATCTGATAGGCCAAGAGTAGCCTGTTTTGGTTAAGAGTCCCATTGTGAAGCCATGTGAGTCTCAGCTGGAAATAAAAATCCTCCTCTGGATGGATGTGGTCTGAACCCAGATTTGGTCCTGGACCGGTTCCAGGGGGTCTTACTGGTTCTCCTGGTTGTCATATACTCCGGCTTCCCAGCGCAGAGCTCGCTGGTTCTTATGACGAACGACTCGAGTCGACTCCACGACCTGCAAAGAACATTAAATTAATCAGTCAGGCAAACTCTGCTATTGGTCAGAATTATAATGTTGACGACACGGAAGCTGTTGCTCCCTGAGATGGTCAGAGTGGATACGGGCCATCCAGGAGCTAACAGTACAATCAGCTTCAGAGCGGCCCGAGCCAACAGCTATGTGGGCCCTGCTGAGACCCTAAATTATGTAGGGTTCAGCCCTCTGGGGGAGTTTGGGGAAGCCGGACCTCAGACAGTACCTCGTTGTTGATGTCGTCGACCAGCTGAATTCCTGCGTACTGAAAACAAACCAAAGACAACAATGTGAAGACAAACATAAGATCCTCCCACAGGAAGTGAGAATGACAGACACAAAAACTCACTGAGCTCTCCTCCAGCTTCAGCTTGGATCGACGCTCCTCAAAGTCCAGCAGTAGGGTCTCCGTGAGACCCCGCGGTGCAATGGGGGCCTTTCTGGCTGCCACAGGGGAGGTGGTAGAAGCAGGAGGAGGGGACGCCCAGGGTTGAGCGGTGATGAAGGAGATGGAGGGCAGACGGGCAGTGGGACGAGGGGAGGGAGAAGACAAACTGGCAGGTGGGTCTGAGGCTGAGGAGGAAATAATGACAGAATAAAAGCAGGATCAGAGTGTTTGAATAGATCCAGCTTCCACAGACTACCTTTCAATATATGACTTCCTCATCAGCATCAGATATTGAGCTGAATCTGCTGGTAGCACAATGCTGCCCTGTCCCCCCCAGGCCACTCAAGGATTTGCACCTGCCTCTGGCAGCCATATTGGAGGTCAAAAGTTGTGACTGATTTACAGTCAGAAAACAGACTTTGCTCAGTCTGCTCATTAAGTTAGTCATTCTCTCTTCTCTGGTAGATATGTGACAGACAGCAGCTGATAGAAAGTATGAACAGAGACTGACAGGGCCCTCACAGACTCAACGGACCCTACCAGACTAAATGGCCCCTTACAAACCAAACAGGCTCTCAACGACCGATCAAGCCCTCAAAGACTAAACAAGCCTTTAATGTCTGAAAGGGCCCTCACAGACCAATAGGGACCTTGCAGGCCGAATAGGTCTTCACAGTCCAAACAAGCCCTCATAGACTAAACAGGCTGCTCGAAGCTTCATTGGTTTTTTCAGTTTGTCTGATGACTTACCCTTCAGCATGAAGTAAGCAGGACTCAAACCCATGTTTCCAGCCAATCTTCCCCAGTGTCACAGTACCACATTAGACTGGTCTGTATCCCAAAACCCAGCTGTTAAACCAGGTTTAATTTACCCAGTGGACACAGGCCCTACATACCTGTGTTTACTGGAGGGTAGAACTGTCTGACGGCTATTTTATTTGCCTGTTCTACCAGAGGAACTGGAGAGAAAGCCGGGTGGCTGGGCTCCTTCTTGGACTCTCTCAGCTCCTTCAGCTCCTGCTCCCGTCTCAGAGCCTCTTGGATCTCCTTCTCAATGAAATCTGGAGCTCCTTGTGCCCTGGACTGCAGGCCTATGGACTCCAGGTTGTCCCTCCAGGACCGGGCGTCTGTTTCGCAGCGAGGGATTGGTGTTAATGAAGAAGGAGAGGAAGACTGGGAGGAAAGAGCTGATTGCTCCTGGTAAAAACGTCTTGTGCGCTGGATGTCGGAGTCCCTCTCTGTGTAGGAGATCTCTTCATGGAAAACGTATTCTTCTGGGTGTCGATGAGGACAGCAAGGAGATGGGTAGACTTCCTCTGCTCCAGATCCAGACTCAGGTCTGTTTCGGGTCTGCCTGACCTCCTCTGTTGGATCAGCCTGTGTTCTCACAGCCTGGTGCTTCTCTGCAGGACCTTGACCTTCTCTGTCAAGGATCGCTGCCTCCTGCTGTTCCCCGGCCCTCTGGTTCTCCCCCTGGTTCTCCCTCTGGATGGTGAGGCCCACCTGCTTCTTTTCTCTGACTATGATGGGCTTCACTGGCAGCTGTAATCTTTTGGTTTTTATTTCCACCATCTCTGCCTGAGTATTGCTTAGCTTCAGGCCTCGAGCACGCCGTAGATTCTCCTCTCGTTCCTGAGCTAAGCGGATCTCCCTCTCGATGGGGGTTTCATGGGCTGTGTTTGACGTTGGGCCGGTATCACTGGTAACGTTGGCATGCAGCTCCTCCAGGCCAGAGACCAGATCTTCAAACACGCTGCTCTGCCGGCTCAGACTATCTTCTGTTTGAGACACCGTCACTTTCCTCTGGGGACTCATCTCGTGTTCTTCCACTCTCTGCTGTGTTGGGTCGGCGCTCTCCACACCCCTGTAGGCGACCACCTTCTTGCTCACGTACAGGTCCGGTTCTGGCTGTGGAGTCGAGCTCAGGCGTGTTCGTGAAGCTCCAACAGGACTGAGCATGGATGCCAGCCGGTCCTGCTCCATCTTCATAAACTTCTCTCGGGCTGTGCTGAAGTTGATCTCCTCTTTCTCGATAGTCCCCGGCTTTGCAGACCAGGCTGGATCTGATCTGGGGCTGATGGGGCTGTAGCTCACGCTGAAACCCTCTATCAGCCTTTTCGTGGACAGGCTCAGGTCCAGGTTCTCCATGGGACTCTGTGGTTCCCCCAGGGTTCTCCTCGGAGCTTGGTTGCGGATGATGTTGTGGCGGAGCTGCTTCTCCTCCTCGTCGCTAACAGCCCTGATGCCGTTGTTTGGACCCACTCTGTATTGCGAGTCTCCATTGGTCTCAGAGAACAGGCTCTCTGGCCTCCTGCTGCCACTGTAGGTCTGTAGTTTGAATCCCCTCTCCTCTTTGAGGGTTGCCAGCTTCGCCTGCCGCTCCGGGGAAAGCATCCAGGCTTCGTTCAGCTCAGCTTCAGGACTTGTGGGATCATCCACAAAGGAGTAAAACCCAGAGTGAGAGCCTGAGCCGCTGCTGGGGCTGCTGGGGCTGCTGGGACACCAGTCCTCACTGCCGCTGTCGTCTAGGGACACGGCAACCTTCCGGGCCTGGATCAATATGTTTCGAGAGTCATCACTCAGCTCAGGGGTGACCACCACTGAGGAGTGGTTGTTAGACACAGAGACGCTGCCAGAAGGGGCCAGGCTGTCCAGGTTGGGGGCGGGGCCAGCAATGGAGCGCAGGTCGGAAGGCTGCAGCAGTGGGGACAGAGGCTTCAGCACCCACCTCCGTGGGATGCTGTCCATGACTGGAGTAGGGAGGGCACAATGAGTCACGCTTTTAGGGGTCAAAACATCATGACGGTCACCTGCAGAGATTTTCTGAAATGACAGGTGGGAGAGAACATTACTACGGCAACAACGCACTCTGTAAGGGTTAGATTCACGTGATTGATGGTGAGCTGCCAAAGAGAACTGGGTTCATGTACAGCCCCCAACATCATGAGGATGGGTCCAATAAAGCATGATTGTATTGTACTTGGTCGGTTTACAGCTTTCCTTCAACATCAAGAAACTCTGTTTTACTGTTTAACTGCAGCAGGAACTCATGGCGAGCAGAAAAAGATCAGTAAAGATAATCACATTAGTTTATGGGTCATAAAAGAGAAACAAAACTCTGTCAGCTCAATCATTCACAGATAAAACAATCCTCACATTTCTTAAGAGTTATCCCCATAAAACCCAGAGTTGAAGGTTCAATTCAAGACTCATAAAGCTCAGCAGCCCAATGACTGATCACTGGTTGCTGATGAGAGAAGGCAGAGGAAACTCTCTGACAGGTAAATCAGAGCAGACTGGCCCACACCTGATGGGGGGCAGCATCACACCTGACTCAGCAGAGGCAGAGCAAAGGGCTCTGCTTCTGGACTGTTGTGCAGCTGGTTCTGGCTCTGATCTGTTACTCTGACTGCTCTTCCTCTCAAACGGGGAGCCAGTCGAACCAAAGCTGCATCAGAACTAATGGTTCAGTTGGGTTGGAGGTAGCAGACCTGAGTAGCGTTTATATTGCTGGCCAACAGGTTTTGGTCCGCGTTCTGGGCTTGGGTCCTGATGGCTCCGGCCTCAGAGAGCACCCTCAGCCTGAGGCAGCTGATAAGCAACCCTTCTTGCAGAGCAGCCGCTGCAGATGGCTGATAACTACAACCATTTCCCCGCCCTAATCTACACAAATTGAACGCCAGTTTCACCTCAGAGCAGGCGGTGCCTTCAGCACCGCCAACCGGGCCGGCTGAACCCATCCTGACATAATCTGTCTCACCACAAACATCCCCAGATTTCTCCTCCAGAAGAAAGTTTTCCACTATGGTTCAGGTTGGCTTAAAGTCTCTCACCTCTGATCAGCTCCCGTCAGCAGCTCCAACGGTCTGAGGAGGAGCTTGCTGACGAGACAAAGGTCACTGCACGCAGGCCCCGCCCACACATGCCCCCATGTGACCCTGCCATCTCATGGGGTTGGTTATAACTAGCTGATGTGTCCATGATGAGGCTCAGACATCAGCTGCTTTTCAGGAACCAGAACCACATCCAACAGGAGATGGACCTGGGGTACTGCTGACACCAGAACCAGACCAGGGGTTCTACAGATTCATCAGAGAAACAACAGCTGACTTTTTGAAGTGTATTCTTCACAGTTTAGGACCTGCTGCTGAGGGGACTCGGACCTGGTGCTCTGGCGCCCCCTGCTGGACGGACCACGCCATTGGTTCTGATGTTGCTGCTGCCATGGTGGATCCTGTTTGGAGTTTTTTTTTTCCACGCTGTACTGAACTTTGAGATCCAGATCACCGCGGTATAAAGATGCCACCCGGACCTTTGGCCCCGACCTTTAACCCTGTTCCTAAAAAGTGCTGAAGCAGGTGTTTCTCACCTTCAACTCCGGGTCCAGACTCCGACACATAACCTGCCAGGGTGGGGTGTACCTGAACATCCTGGTCGACCTGGTGTCAGTCTAAATGATGCTGGTGAAGATGTCACCCTGCCTGACAGCCAGAGGGAACCAATCAGCTCATAACCTGATACAGTGGTTGGGTCTATTGATAAGTGTATGAAAAAGAATCAAAGCCGGTGTTGTTGGTAGACAAACAAGATCAAGTAAACAACAATTACCTGGTCTCAAATGTTCAGATAAACAAAGCAAACAAACACGAGTCATCCTTAGCGTCTCCTGTTACCTTTGAGTCCGATCAGCTGATCAGCACCCTGGAATGTGATGTCACAGTGAGGTCATATAGGTAAGAGCTCAGAGATACAATGTGAGGACTCACCATGCAGCGGCTCCTCACTGCCATCGGACCGCCGAGTGTGTGATTTACTGTGTGTGGTACTGTGTGTGTGTTGCTGAATGGCAGACTTTGTCAGGAATGCTGCTGACCAACCGAAACAGGCACACAAAGACCAGCCGCGCCCAGCATTCACACATTTAGACATAGGCAATAAATTCTTTCTCTTTGACCTCAGAGGAAAAACATCACGTATTTTATTATTCATCCAAAACCAAAATGAACAGATTCCAGGGACATTTGATTTCTCACTGGTTCCATAGACAGAATAAACAAGCAGACACAAAAACACACAATTTGTTCCCATTAATTTAGTTGATGTGTGAAACATGCCAAAGATAACACAGTTTGAAAGAAATTTGGATTTTTGAAGGCAGCAATAAGCTGAGCTATTAGCTGAAAACTTGGCATATCTCAGCATGGTGTGGAGTGTGTCCTTAAAAAATTTGAGGACGCAAGAAGTATTGGGCCTAAAAAATTATCTCCATCCTTAAGAAAGAGGGAAAATCCAGCAAGGCCTGACACCTGAGCTGAGAGATGCATCTGGACCTTCAGCTGATCCATCTCCTGTTGGTACAAGCCTCATTAGAAATGCTCTCCATGAAGGGGAGCTGTCAAGAAGCCATTCTTAAGGAAGGGAAACAGGGAGAAAAGGCTGAGCTCTGCCCAGTGACACAAGAAGGGGACTGAAAGGGCAACAGGTCTGATGATGGAATGAGTGTGGATCACCTGACAGAGAACGGAACAAAAGGCAGCCCACATCCAAAGAAGAGCTTTGGGATGTCCTTCAAGAAGCCTGGATACATAATCCTGAAAAGGATCCAAAAGTGTAATATGATAATAGTCCTCACCATCACTGACCCAGGGACAGACACTTATTGGATGATTTAATGATCTAAATTTATTCTCCATCCCGATTACGAACTATTTCTGGATGGGTTAGATCGGTGTTTCCTTAAATGTAAAAGGTTCTTTTTATAAAGCCCTGTCTGGCTTTCTCAGGCAGAATCTCCCTCATGCACATAATAATTGTCATGGTGGAGGTGGGGTTGCAAGGTGACTTAACTTGGTAGACGCAAACTGATCCGAGGTTCAGGTATCTTTGGGTTCCATGCTCCATGGTGACAGCTGGTCTGATCAGCTCTGCAGATGAAGGACATGAAATCGTTAAAGCTGAAGTGTTGACTCAGCTCTTCAGCAGGTGTGGTTACTGAGATGAACTGCCCCACCTGTTCTACTGATGTTAAAATGAGGTTCTACTGACACCCAAATGCGCTTCCGTGAGAGTCTAGTGAGGTTATGATGAGACTGATGAGGTTGTATAAAGGCTCTACTGATGATAAAATTAGATTCTACTGAGGTTCTAGTGACGTTCTGCTCGAGTTGTAATGAGGCTCTTCTGAGGTTCTGCTGAGATTCTGTTGATGTTCTACTGACACCCACATGATATACAATGAGACCCTAGTGAGGTTGTACTAAGGCACTAATTATGTTCTACTGAAGTATTGCTGAGATTCTACTGCCCAAATTAGGTTCTAGTGAGGCTCTGCTGAGGTTGTACTAAAGCTCAAATTAAGTTTTACTGAAGCTGTAATTAAGCCCTAATGAGGTTCTGCTGATTCTACTGAGGCTCTAACGAGTTTTCACTGATGCCCAAATAAGGTTCTCATGAGGTTCTGCTCAGGTTGTACTAATGCCCGAATGATTTTTTTCTGATACTTAGGGTCTAATGAGGTTCTGCCTGAGGTTCTGCTGGGGTTCAATTGAGTCTCTGCTGGGGTTCTAATGAGGCTCTATTGAGGTTTTCATGATTTTAGCAGCAAGCAATGGATGGATTAGCATGAAATGTTGATTAGGACGTTTTGTGGTAAAATGGGGAAACTTCATGCTAGTTTCCAGGTGTGACGCTTACGATCTATCGAATAACCTGGTTTAATAGATCATCACAAGATAAGAGAAGCAAAGGTGTTTTCAATCAGCCTGTTTACGATTCTTTTAATAAAACTATATATACAACTAATCTGATAACATTTATCAGATTTGGGTCAAACAGAGGATGGTGTGCAGCCAGTTATGCTCCCAGACCTGTTACAGAAGCAGTTCCATTTCTGGTTCTGGAGCTCCATGAACAGTTCAGAGGAGGTTTATCCCGCCTTTCAGAGTTTAGCTGAATATCAGCAGCCTTGTTTAACAACGCTGCTTTGAGCTTTTTGTGAGGGGCCTGACCTGAATTACATTTTTAAACATCTGCTGAGCGGGTTCTCAGGAAATGAAAGGCCTTCATCCTGCCACACAAACACAGACTCAGCTTGTGGTTCACGAGTCGACCATCCGTCAGCTCACCTTTATTTCCTTTTATATACAGTACACATAAACACACCTGTGGGTTAACAGGCTCAGACACGGAGCAGGTGGAGGTTAAAGCGCATGCTAACAGGAGGCGTCACACCTGAAACAGGAGGGGTAAAAAAGTAAAAAAGCTTTTAGAAAACTGGCGGCGATGAGGAATCAGGAATTGATGTCGTGTTAGAAGCGGCAGTGGGCAGTGGGTGGACTTTTTATCACGGTGCCACAGGTCACATGATGCTGCAGCACTTACACGGCTGCTTCTCCTTCTTCACCTGCACTACCCCTCCCACTGGCGTCTCCCCTGTCGTCTCCCCCACCGTCTCCCCTACTGTCTCCCCCGCCGCTTTCCCAGCCATCTCCCCATTGCTTGCTGTCCTCTCTGGAGGTGTGGTGGAGGTGGGCGAGGCAGAGGAGGTGCGTGGTGTGGCGAGGGCGGGAGGAGGTGGATCCATGATCCCATTGGCATCATCAATCAGCACCAGCTCCGCCTTCACCGTCCCCTGCAGCCCCAGGACCTTCTTGGTTTCGTCCTCGTCCTCCACGCTCTGGTACCCCATGAATACCATGGTAACCGGGTTGTCAGCACTGGCCTCTGCCACACTCGGCTCACCGCAGGCTTTTGTCTCCAGCCCAGTGATCTGTGGCGGCATATCAGGAAGCGGCTCATCCTGGACCTCCGCCGTTGGGAGGGAGGTCACCGTGGTGACAGTCGGTGACATCATTGATGCCTCATCAGCTTTGTGAATAAGCTCTTCAACCTCAGAAGAGCTGAGCAAATGGACGCCATCTTCCCCGTTCATCTCATGGACCACTGATAGACAGAGAGAACAGCGTCAGACAGCAGGAGCAGCTCAACATGATGAAACCACAGCTTAGCAGGATGGTAGAGCGTCCCTCACCTGTTGTCGAGCTACCCCAGGTGAGTTGTGTCTATCTGTTTGTGTCTAAGCTTGGATAGCCACCCCCCCCCCCCCCCCGGGACCCAAGTTGGACTAAGCAGTATAGCTAATGGATGAATGGATGTTTGTGTCTATCTGTTTGTGTTCGAGTTTTCAGGCTCATGTCACCTTTCTGCTTGTCCTCGTACACTTTGACACCTTGGTGGGAGAGGTCAACAGGAAGTGTGGTGTTAGTGGACAGAACCCTGGTTTCCCCTGTAGCTTTGTCCCGCTCTACCTTAATCTCCACCGAGTACATGGCTGGGGGAGGGGCCGGTTAGAGGGACGACAGGGTCCACACAAACAGACACAGACAGCACTGTCCATGATTCCACAATCATGGTTACAGCAGGAAACTCATACGAAAGTAGTTAGAGACAGACAGACGACTGCTGTTAGAGACAGACAGACATTAGAACCTGTGATAAATAAAACAAGTAAACTGTGATAAACGTGTAATAAATGTGTAATAAACCTGTAAGAGCCTCTCTTGAACCTAAATAAACCTGAAAAAACTGTAATAAACCGACATGAATCTTTGGTTGCCAGTCTCTGACTTACCTCTCTTCAGCTCATCTGTTGCCTCTATTGACCTGGAGACTCTGGGACTTCTTTTAATTTTGATCTCTGCTGGAGCTTGTGGAAAAATGGGGCAGGGTCAGAGGTGGAGTACAACATCATCATTTCACTGAATTCCAATTAGCTCTGATCACATAATGATGATCGCTGTAATCCAACTACAAACAAAGTTAACCTGATCACTGTAATTGAACTGCTTCTCACTGTACCGGGACAAGGACTGTTGGATGTAATCTAAGTACAGTTGCAGCACACAGGCGAAGCTCACCTTGGACCATCTCATCAGCTGGCATAGCTCCACCCAGAGGAAGGTCGCTGTGACCTTTGACCTCCACATCTGTCGGAGACACGAGTGAGACACGAAGCATCCAAACAACAACAGGCAGAGAGGAAGAAGTTTACCTTCAACTGATCCTGCCGTCACCTGGGGGCACAAATGCAGAGAGAGGAGGTTCACGGTCACAGTAAAATCCCCCACAGATTAACAAAGCCCCGTCAATATGAAGGGTGCACACTCACAGCAATGTGTGAGATAGTCTGAGTCCCAGTCCCAGACTCCATCTTGACCAGCTCCTGCTCCAGCCTGCAATAAACCAATGAACCAACCACCGACAAACCAAACAATCAATTAATCATGCAGCTAAGCAATTTACCAACCAAACAATCAAGCCAGTTGACCAACAAACCGGACAAGCAACCAATCAACTAACCAATCCATCAACCAAACGACCAATCAGCCAGTCAACCAAGGATCAAGCAAATAAATGAAGAAGAAAAAATCAAAACGCAAACAACTCCAACCAGTATTTGGCCTGCAGGTACTTCTATCCAGTCTCACTTCCTTTCACCCCACAGATGAAGATTCAAATTCAAATTCCTCTGCCTTTGAGGACTGCCCATTCTGTTGGGTTTAATATCTTGTAAAAAGGACAGGTCCAAACAAACCATGCTCCTCAGGGCTCCAAGTTTCATCTCCTCAGAGTCAGTGCTCGTTTGATTTTGCTCCCAACGTTAATCTAATACATGTTACGACTGAGTGCGCTTCCTGGTTTAGTAAACAAACATTTATCAGAACCAGCTGGAGAAAAACAGTGCAAATAAGGAGGAAACTGGAAAAAAGCAAGCTCAGCTGGACAAGGTCAACAGCAACTGATTGGCTGGATCACACTGGATCACACTGGATCAGGCCACGGATTACAAAATGAGATCACACCTGCCAATGGTCTCCTCCAGGCTCCGGGTCTTTTCTTCATCCTCCTCCAGCTGCTTCTTGACTTCGTCCTGTTCTGGCCCCGCTGTGGGAGTCCCGTCCAGCAGCCAGCGCTCTCTCAGGGCTTTGGACTGAACATGGAAAACACAGAACCAGAACGCTCAGCCTGATGTGGGAATATTCGGCTTGTGTGGAAGTTCTCACCTTCAGGTGCTGCAGAGTCCTGCGATCATCCTCCAGCTGGCGTCTTTTGTTCTCGATCTCCGTCTGCCACTTCCTCTTCTCCTGAGGCGTGATGGAAAATAAGGTCAGATCCGGTGCCCCCAATAATTGGTCCCGAACACTAGAAGCCCTTAAAAGACCCTGCTCACCGCTAGATCCAATCATTAAATTCATGGTTCTGACTTAGAACGATAAAGGCCTTTGTTTGCTTGTCATTTAGCCCTTATGTCCTAATTTGTGCTTTTTACCCCTTATTTTACTACCTGTTCAACCCCTTTTTGTCCTAGATTTTATTCCACAGTTAAACTTTATATGACCCTTTATTTACCCTGTTTTTACTCCTTATTTACACCAAATCTACCCTGTTTTTTTTACCTCTAATTTACCATTTTTATCCATTATTCGACTATTTCAACCCTTTTTCAGAGCAGAACTGCACTCAAGGGGAGGGGCTACAGAACATGAGATGAGAGGTTTGTTCACTGACTGATGTAGAACTCACCGTGATGAGCTGTAGCCGATCTTGATGAATCACCCTGAAACACAGACAGTCAGCTCACACTTTGAGTCAGGTTCTGGGAGACCAGAGTCCCCCAAACAAACCTGACCCAAAAACACTAACGCAGTCATGGTTCTGTCCATTTACTTTCGGTCACAACTGAGTGTTACATTGGCAGCTCAAAGCTCCTCTATAGACAGAGTTTATCATGTTTTAACTGTGTAAAAAAACACACAACATGTTAAAACATATTTTAAAAACATGTTAAAACTTGTTAAAAACATCGGAAAAACTGAGAGGGACTCGGTGCTGTCCAACACTCAGACTTTGGTTTTGTCTGCACCCAAAGATCCTAAACAAAGTCCTGCCGTCTCCATGGAGAACGGACCGGTGCACAAAAGACTTTGAGGGCACATCCAGGCAACAGGGACGGCAGCAGAACCGGGACATCAGAGTCTGAGCTGCAAAACAGAGTCAAATTACAGGCCCTAGCAGGGCCCAGGTCTCACAGAACCACGCCGAGCTCCATCTCGCTGGAGGAGAATAGGAAGTGATGTCAGTGAAGTGGCGCTCCCATGCCGTGCAGACGGCAGAGAGGTGCATGGTGGGTAATGAGACAGCAGTTCAGCCTGATTCTGTAATTTATTGATTAAGTATTGATCTGTCTGGGCGCTCGTCTCCTCCGTTTGGTTCTTTACCCTCTGGCTCTGTACCTCTGGCCTGGGGTCCAGAACCCATGTTCATGCTCATCTCTGACCAACCAGAACACAGAACATCAAGTGGGTGTTTTTTTCCCGGAAGAGTCCTTACCCTCCCCTGACTCCTCCTCACCTCCTGATGGCTGTGCTGACCCGGTTCTGACCCAGAAACACGCCCTCACATTAAAACATCTCTGTGCTTTTATTGAGGAGAAACGCCACCGGAAGTCGTGCATCCCGTGCGCGTGCACCTTGACTGACATATTGATCACAAAGTGACCCAAATGTGATTAGAGGAGCGCGTGCAGCTGATTGATGGGAAAAGCAGAGCGCACGCGGCGTGGCCTCTGCGGCAGCTGCACGCGCTCCGTTGTTTCAGCCCCTCTGCAGAGACTCTGAGAGTTCGGAATCGGCCCGACCCACACACGTCCGCAAATCGATCCGGTGCTTTCTGAGCTTATTTTCTCATTGGAAGGACCTCGGGTCCGGTTCTGACTCAGCAGTTTCAGCACCACACAGTGATGACACAGCAAACGACGCGTGCGCGGCTCAGAGTTAAAGCGATGGAAATAAAAGAGATGAAAGAAGAGAAGAAAAAGGAGAATAAATTCGGTGTACTCACTCCATGTCTGATCCGTCCGCAGCCAGAATCATCTGATCCGCATCCGAGAGGAAACGGACCCGCCCATCGGCAGGGGGCGGGGGGAGCGCAACCAGCCAGTCCGAACTACTCTCAGCATCCCACAGAGGAATGCCAGAGGGATGCTGAGCCAAAAGCCCAACCGGTTTAAATAAAACAAAACAGAAATCCAACAGAACCACACAGAAAACCTGGGGCCAAATCACTGAATCAAAAGATTGAAGATGCAAACACCAGAACTAAGGGGAACTAAGAACTAGACTAAGAGGAAAAGTTCTACAAAGGTTCTGAGCGAATTTAAAGTTCTGTCCTGGGCCCCAGAGTATGGCACATCAGGATCAGGATACTCTTAAACATGAAACTGGACCCTGTTTTTGCTGTAACATACTGCAGAAATATACTGAACACTGGGATGTTTGGCCTGTTTGCCACATATGAATAAAATTGCATTTCATTGGTGGTCCAGTTCCACCTGACAGATTTTTTCCCCCCACTCTATCTTTAAAAGGCCTGACAGACGACATAAAAACACTCAAAATGAAGTCTGGTTTATTTCAGGAAATACAGACAAACAGACAAACAGTACAATAGATCTTAATGCGCACGCTCTGTGATCCTGTTCCCTTCCTGTCTGTGCGGATAACCTCAAAGCTGAGCAGAGCTCCTCCATTTTATGATCCTGAGCTCAGATTATTCAGGATGCTGAGGGGCAAAGATGCTTTAATTGTCCTCCTTTATCCTGGGGGTGCTGGTTCTGGAGGCTCTGTTCTGTCTCATTTCATCCTTCAACTTTCAGTCCCCTTTTCTAAAAAAAAACATCTTTAGTTGTATTTTGAAATGATCAGAAAAACCCCACTTTCCTGTTTCAGGCTTGTAAAATGCCCCCTAAAACTAAATTCTGGTATCTTTAGTTTCCTTTGTTTAATGCGCCGTTCTCATTCTCCTTTCGAAAGGACATCACCTCCACAGTTGGCCCTGCCTCAGCGGCTAAGCCCCGCCCCCTCACACCTCCCTGCTGGGTGTATGAAGCAGCCTCATCCAGCAACAGCCCAGAGGATCTCAGAGACTCTGAGGGGAATGTTCCAGCAGAGACACCAAAGAGGATACAGAGGACACTGTCACTCTTTATCTCCAGTCCAGTAAGTTTTGAGATCAGATTTGGAATACATTTAATCCGCATTCTCCTGTGTTTATATTGACGCTTTGAATTGTTATTTTCAAATAAAAATTAGAAAGAAGAAGACAATAGTGGGGTTTATGTTTCTTTGTTTTCCTTAACAATAAAATGGATCCAAGTTCTCCATTTCTCATGCTTTTTCAGTTTTTGTGTAAATATGTTGACGATTCCTCCGTCAGCCTGCCAGAATCTGTGCCCCCTCTGTTTAAAGCATGTATTACATTTTACCATCTGATGTTTTTTCTCACACACCTCAGGTTATACCTAATATCCACAAAAATGTTGTGCCAGTTTGGGCATTATTTAGTGCATTTGCATAGGGGGCACAGATTCTGCCGGCCAGAATATTTTAGCCTGCCGGAATTTGTATCCCCTCATTTAAAGCCTGTGTTACACATATCAGCTATTTGATCTCATAAATACCTCAGATCATACCAAATAAATTTGGGCAAGTTTAGACTGTATTTGCTTAAGTTGCATGGAGTCACAGATTCTGGCAGCCAGTTTCCATCTGCCTATCAGAATTTGTGTTTTTAAAACTTGTATTAGAATGTACCATCAGATATTGGATCCCATACATAGCTCAGGTCATATCCAACAATCACACAAAATCTAATCATCGCCACAGCCCCTGTGAATTGATAAAATGATGGTGATACTTGATAAAACTGGTGACTTAAAAAAAATCAGGCTTGATATTAGCTAAAAGCAAAATAAAATCTTGAGATCCAAAGGTCAGTTATAATTTGACAACATTTGTCTTTTAAAAATCTAATTCTACTCACGCTACAGAAAAAGAAAAACACAAACTGTTCATGCAGGATAAAAGTGGAACGTTGTTGTGGAACCCAGGCTTTTATCTTGCTGGAACAGATGCTTCCCATGTGGGATGAGTGGTGCTTTAGCGCGGTACTGCACAGAGTCTGTACGGTTTGGGACAGCGAGTGATCCCCATTATGAACTCCAAACTGGGCTGTTCCCCATCAGGTACTACAAAAGAGAACCTCTGAAGGAGAGAGGTGAAAAAGAGGAATAACTCCATCCTGGCCAGCTGCTCCCCGAGACACACACGCTTACCTGAGAAAACACAAAGCGCCGTGATCACAGGATATTATCAGAGCTGTTATGCTGCAAAACAACCAACCCACTTTTCAGTAAGCGGATATATTGTTGTTCACATCTACAATTACTGGAAAACCAAGACAATCTGTCATTGGGCGTCTTTCAAGCTTGTGGCTGAAACAGTGTGTGACCGAGTTCTTAACATAACAAACAAATAACCAACCTGCAGAAAAAGGAAGGAAGGCTTCTCTCTTCCTGAATTTGCCATCCTGGTCCAAAAAGTGCCGAGGGTTAAAGGTGTGTGGCGTTTCCCATACTGTCTCATCCTTGAGAACTGAGTTCAATACAGGAAGAATCATGGTTCCCTAAAGATATATGAAAGAGGTTCACCATACTATTTGTTCCTTGTGCTTAACTTATCTTAAACATCCAAATAAACATGAATGAAATTATAAATTTTTCTCTTGCTTTTTTATGTCATGTGTATATTTAAGTGAGCTCAGATATGCTCAAAGTAGGGCTGTTGAGGAAGCCATATCATCCCATTTTGGACTAAATTCAGTCCTTTTTTGTGCATCTGGCTGTACCTTTGCTGGTAACTTGTTTGTCAGTTTAGAAATGGTAACCTTGCATATTTACTCTGTTGATAAATAACAAGCAGAATGGTCGCATAGATAATTCTCATCAACAAGTATATTATGCACCTTTGGAACAGTATAATTATTTAGAATGGTGTCCTTGTTTGCCATGCGAGTCACATTGAGAGGGATGATGTTGCCCATTCTTTGTATCTCGTGGATGACTGCGTCAGTGTAGGGCATGTTCTCTTTGTCAGACATGGAGGGCAGTCTGGATGACCCAACCACAGCATCTATCTCAGCCTGGACCTTCTCTGCACACAGAGAAAATAGGACGGATTGTGAGTTTGTGCGCCTCACACATCATCAGTAGGGAAACTGCATGTTTATTCTTCCTAAAGAAAAACAAGCAATGCATTAAAACTGATTCTACAAGCATGGTGCTTGGCAGAGTAAACGCTGATTTCAGACACACACCTTGCACGTCAGGGTAGTAGATCATGTATAACAACCCCCAGTGTAATGTAGTGGTGGTAGTTTCAGTCCCAGCTCCGAACAGGTCCAGGGTGCAAAAGCAGAGATTGCTGAGATTAAATCCAGAATCGGTGTCTTCCGTCTATCAGAGACACAAAGGAGGAAAAAAAGCTATCATAGGAAAAAAAGCAAACAAAGAAAAAAGTCTTAATTGAAATGCTAATGTGTTTTTTGGGGGAAAGATTGTGAAGAGAAAGTCTCCTGATTTCAAAATTGAAAATATTTGCATCAGTTTCATTACATCCCTTTTGACTCCTCTATTTTATATTAATCAGAATGATCATTTGGACAATATAAACCAACAACAAGTTGAGTTTGTTAATGATGGTTAGAGATCTTGAGATCTGAGTGTCTTTCTGTTTGGGGGTAGGGATGGCCATATTATATTTTCTGCTGAATGTGAGAGTTGTAAATATTTTGGTTATTAACTCAGTGAGCGACATATCTCAATACTCTTAACCTTTGGTCAATTTGTATCAAAACTCAGCCTAAATCATTAGGAGCCTCAGTAAAATGAGAAGGAAGTTAAACACTCACCTGTCCCATCTCTATGAGGAATGAGTCAATGTAGTCTCTGGGTGATGAGGCATCAAGGTTCTCTCTGTGTTCTTTGATTTTGACCTCTATGAAGTCAAGGATCTGCTGTGTCAGAGTGAATATCTTCTGATGAGGTCCAGGCAGCCACTTCATGAGCCAAGGCATTGTGTTGTAGATCTACAGAATAATGAGGTACTTGCTATCAAGCAGGGACACAGAGGCTTATGTTCACATGACCAAACTGCCCCCCCCCCCCCACAGCTTCCTTTAACAGACACTGAGCCTGGAGTATGCTAATGTGAATGAGATTTATTTTATTCTTGTAATTACATCCCGTTTGATTTTAGTGACTCAAAAATAATTTAACTTACCTCTCTGTCCACTGTCCTTGGTATTTAACATTTACAAACGTAATTTGAGTGTTTTCAACTTTCATTCTAGTAACAAAGAGTGAATTAATCTTAGTTTGGCCTTTCACCTGCAATCAAATTACAATAAAGCCCTACCAAAGGTTTGGTCAAAAGAAAAGTTACCTGTACAACTGGGAAACAAATGCTAAATAGTTTTTATTATAATTTTAAAAATTACAATTTGAATGAATTTACTGGAAACAACATGCACACCTCACCTGTGCCCATATGCTTCCCTCTAAGTACACGGTTTCATTGAAGCACTGAAGAATGGCCTTGTACTGCTCATCAGTGTACTCAAAACGATTCCCAAACACCAAACAGCAGATGATGTTGGACACAGCGTTGTTTATCAGTGACTGGGCGTTAAATGGCTGGCCTGTAAAGCAAAACAAAACGGCTCAAAAGACAATAAAATGTTCATGTAGACACTATTCTTTTTTCAAAAAATAAATAAATAGATAAATGAGTAAATGTGTGTATATATATATATATATGTATATATTTTTTTGCCTTGTTGATCTGAAAAAGCTTCCGTGAGATATCGGCACTCCTGCTGGATGGACTGTTCCAAGGTCTTCTTTCCCAGACCAAAGTTTCTAAGTGTGTGAAGAGCAAATCTCCTCTGCTGCTTCCAGGAATTGCCACTGGAACCCACAAGACCTTTTTCAAACACAAATCAAAATTAGTTTGAAAATACTGAAACCGGTATCCCGTGTACAGTGTCAGTTTGGCATGGTTGAGCTTACGGAAATATTTGTCAGCAACTTCAGAGAGAG